TACTTTTTCGTACCTTTTCATACTTCTTCGTACTTCGTACTTTTTCGTACTTTTTCCTACTTCGACAACGTACTAATTTTTTTCAAGTCTTTTTTGATATAAATGCTAATGTTATGGTACCTATTTTTAACAGTTATTTTAAATAACGTTTGAGTACATAGATAATATAAAGTCTTACAGAACAAAGAATAAAATAAAACAAAGCGAACACAGCAGATGATAAACTAAAAGGAGTAGAAATGTATTACATTTCTTTAAAAAATAATTTGAGTATCCTTTTTATAAATCAACTGAGCTATATAAATTTCTGGTAAACGATATAATGATTAATGAAAAAAGAGAAAATATACGTGAAAAACTTCCAAAAAAAAAGAAGTATACAAATATATTAAAACGTATTACAGTAAAATTTAAAAACAGCAAATGTATGATAAAGATAAAATCAATCCTGAAACAATAAAGATGCATATGTTTAAGAACGATTTCTTTTCGTTTTTTGTGATGATGCTACTTGAGATGATGAATGACCACGTTTACGAGAATTTGTTTGTGATGCTGGTGTTTGGGTATTTGCAGAAGGAATAGTCATAGATGATGATGTACCAGTGGAAACAGAAACAGGAGCTAGTGAAGCAGGTTGTTGTATTGGTGGTGATGGTTTTAATGTCATAGACGTCGACGATGATAAAGTATCTGATGATTGTTGAAGGTTGATTTTTTTTGTTCTTCATTCATTTTTTTTCTCGCTCTTATATGACTACAATTTGTCGAGCGTAAATGCTTTTGAAAATTAGAGAGCTGTATTTTTTCATCTTTTACTGTTAATCCTATTGATGTACTACAGTTACATTTGACACTAACTTTAAGTTTATTATTTTGATCATATAGTACATTTAAAATAAAATCTTCTCCTTCTTTTAAATCAAATGAATCTGACATAAAATCATCCGTGTGATTCGAACATCACATTTTCAATAAATTGAAGAAGTGTCTTCGATGTTCAACAATCGGTTTCAATGCTATATCAGGATCAGATGAAGTTCTTGTTTGTGGTGCTGTTGTCATTGGTGGTGTTGAAAATAATGATGATGATGATATTAACTGGAGCAGCTGTTGTTGATAGGATTTTTGTATTTCTTGATTGTTTTAATTTTTCTTTAGTTTTTCTTGATAATAAATCTCGTAAACATTTGAAACCGGTTTTAAATCAATGTTTAACAACGAGTGAACCATTAGATAACGAAAAACATATTTTTCTTTTTAATAAATTCAAATCATCATCTTTAATATCAAGATTTAAAACTTCACATGGATCATTTATTAACAAAAAGCACGGAACCGAATTGATTTCCTGTACTTTTAATAACAGTGATTGATACAATCCAAGACGTTGTTCAACAAATTCATAAAACAAATCATCGACTAAAGTCAATACATTTGTTGGTAAATCTTTGGTTTCATGAAAAATATTTTCAGAGGACATATTTAAACACTTTTCGTAAAATTGATTGAGCTTGAACACGAGTTGTTTTTATAATTAATTGGAAAAAAAGTCAACTAGTTATCTTTAAAAAGAAATAAAAAAGAATTGGATGTGGGTGTTGATCAATCGCAAGCTAAGCTTGTCTTTTTTCATATATTATATTAATTTTCTTTCACCGAACAAAAGCGGCATCTTGAGTTTAAACTAACTAATGATTAAAGATATTACAGATATGAGTCATTGTTGAAAATTCACCTGCTCTTCAAGATATTATCGTTCCCAAACTAAAGGACTGGCTCTAACTTATATTTTTTTATTACAAATATTTTAATTCTCTCTCGTATTTTATATAAAAGTGTTTAGCATCCCATGTAGCCAATAATGTAAAATAATGGACATTATTTTACATTATTTTTAATAAATAATGTATGTAATGTAATTATAATGCAACCTATTTCATGCATTTCAATGCCCTAGTGAAACATCTTGTAAGCAAGATCTTAAAATCTTGGAACTGATAAGCAAGATCTTGAAATCTTGGAACTGATAAGCAAGATCTTGAAATCTTGGAACTGATAAGCAAGATCTTGAAAAGATTTAGTAAAGATCATATGTATGTGAATATCTTGATTGTATTGGATAAATCTGCACTAAGGATCGTGTCAAGATCATAGAAAAGACATCATTTACTATTATCTTTTCACAAGATCTTGAGTAAAAGAACGATATCATTAGTATTTATGTGCTGACTAGTCATTCATCGTTCTTTTTATGCATACATAGCCGTATATAAACAACGTGTTTGAACATGTGAAGCATACATTTTCAAAATAAATTTTTTAAAAATTATTTCTCGAATGTTAATTATTCGAGAACATGCTGATCTCGATCAATCATCGAGGGAGGACAACCTTGAAGCAGTCCAATGGAGATCGAGCCATCTCAAGGTCAGTCAGATTCCAAGGTCTGACTTGCTTCAATTATTTGAGATAGGAATAATTCAAATGAAAATAAATTGAAAAAGTGTGATAGTATGATTTTACAGAAAAAAAATTCGCTTTATGATAGGTTCGAGCCATAGTTTCAGAATAAATCATGTATTGTATCGCAAATCACGACGTACGAAATAGATTTTGTCGTAATATGTGCCCAAGATCTAATGAGTCCATTCCTAAGATCTTATTAATCTGTGCTCAAGATCCTAAATATCTGTAAAAAAGATCTTACTTATCTGGATCCAAGATCTGATTCAAGATCTTGGTACAAGATAATATGATTATCTTGTACCTAAATTTTCAAGATCTGTTAACATTTCTGTACCTTGTATCTTGCCCAAGATCTTGCTTACAAGATGTTTGACTAGGGATCTTATTTGTATATTCTTGTAATTCTTTATGATTATTTGATACATTTAATCGTTTCAACACTAAATAACACAATTTTTTCATATCAAATTCATCGATGAGATTAGACAATGGTTGCAAATGGATGTAAACAGCAAGAGCGGTGAAAAATTCTATCAAGATGCTTTCCGATATATTTGATTCTAGGCTTGCCCAAGTGCGTAATACTGACTGAACACTATAGCTGTACACTTCAATTGGTGATTTAGGAGCACATTTATCGGATGATGAAAAAATATGCATACAGAAAAGTGATATCATGTGAGGACTCATCTGGTTCTTATCACTAATATATATTGTATTCATAATATTATCTAGTCTATTTATTAAAGTTTCTTTTCTTATTTCACCCAAGTTAATTCCTTCATCTAACAAAATAACACGTAGACTTTGTTCAGCTTGTTTTATCCATTGATTTGCAAATTCTAATACTTCTCTCCATTTCATTCCTTCCAAGGAGAAATGTTTGATGCAAGGACTATTAAGTGGACATAGATCATATCCGACAATACGACTTGTAATAATTATCTGATTACCAATACACTTTCTCGGTGAACTCATCTCTCTTTCAAAGCCGATTCTATTCCAACTCGATAATGTCTGAATGTCAAATGGTGCATTATCAAATGGTGAGAGAAAATTTGACGCACGTACATAATCATCGATAAAAATTTTTACAAGTTTAACAATTTTGCATCTTTGTTCGAAGATAGGAATTTCATTTAGTCCATCCAAAAGAATCAATGCATGGCCATGATAGATGAACTCTTTTAGTACATTTTCAACGTCAACATGATTATACGGTTGTGAAAACCAAGTATGTTTACCTATGTAATCCATCAATGTCAAGTTTGAATGCTGCTTAAGCCACTCTGCAAATTCGCCTATTCGAATCAAAATAGGAATACGGAAGAAACTTTTGTCATCTCCACGCAAGGCAGCTTCAGCATACACTCGTGTCATCCAACGAAGTAAAGTAGTTTTTCCATATGCTGGATCTCCCAAAATGACGATCCATCGCCTATGTAGGCATGTCGTGCTATGAATCCTACTAATGAAATCTTCAGTTTCCTTACGTTTGACTGATGGTAAGAAGTTAGTAATGTTATCATCATTTTTTTATACGATTTTTCGTGTACAGAAGATACAGAAGGGTGGGTGTGGGTGTGAGTGTGGGTGTGGGTGGGGTGTGGGTGGGGTGTGGGTGTGGGTGTGGGTGTGGGTGTGGGTGGGGTGTGGGTGTGGGTGTGGGTGTGGGTGTGGGTGTGGGTGAGCTGCATAGATGACGAGAAGATCAACACCCACATCCACACCCGTACACCCACACCCACCCACACCCACACCCCACACCCACACCCACACCCACAACCACCCACACCCGTACCCACATCCACATCCACACCCACCCACACCCACACCCATACCCACACCCTCTTTTAAATGGAGACAATAAAACATTTCGCTTGTATAATCTTTGAAGTAGTTACGAGAAGAATCGATTGTTGCAGTGGGTTTATTTTTGTTTTCCTCTGCTTTGTATAAAGGTAAGCTGTGCAGCCTCTGTTTTAAATTGGTTTCAACACAAATAATAGTTTTATCTCAGTTTTCTGTTAGCATCGGAAAGTCATGTTTTGCAAACCTGTATCCAAGACAAATTGTCACGAAGAAATTGATGATATCTAATTTCATTTGACGTCAATAATGACTGATTATATGGATATAAAGTTGAACAATTTCGCAAAACCTATCAAGAAATTGATTTAAACAATCTTTTAGAGATTCCACTGTAGCTTTGTTACAATAACGAAATCGACATGCCATTTATTGATAATTCTGCCCCTTTATAGATATTTGTTTTAAGAACTGCGAAAATGAGAACCTTATGTGATGTTAGAAATATTTCTAGAACGAGTAGATAGGTATCGTCAGTTAATATGTTTGTGAAGAATTAGATTCATTTGCTTTTCTTTCCAAGGAGTCTCAAACTACTAATTCCATTGAAAACATCGTAGTCTTTATGTTTTTGTCAAGTTTAGAGTTAGGATATTCGTTTTTTTAAGTGAGCAAAAAAACATGCTTGAGGAAAATCACGTAATCTCAGCAGAGATATCGTTGCTTGCTTGGTTTTCATAAATTTATTTTTCTCAACAATCTCTCACATCCTGAATTACACATGTTAACTGGCGTTGATATCTGACACTAGTAAAAGAAACAAAATTATTTGTTTGCCATGTTCTAGTTGGCATTGAAAAAGCACGTGGTTCTTTAAACAGTTGTGGATCGTGATTTTCATGAAGTTGGGATTGAGCTAGGTCATGCTGCATCATATCTGAAATTCTCTTCGCTTACTACAGATATTCGTAGTAAAGATACCCGTCTTCAACGGTTATTACTATTAATCATTTATTCATTTATTTCTACGTACATAACGAAGACGAGAAAATGGTTTCTTACGAACAAAGTACACAAACGGATCTGTCTCCTTCTATATCTCAACAAGGCCATAGCTTCACGATCAGAGGTGCCCTCAAGTTCCTATCCTCCCTATTACTACCACTTGTTGTAGGGATCTTCACAGCGGTCATCACTCTTCAGCAGCAAAATTCAGCAGAACAGCAACGTGTCGAAGATCGGAAAGCATCTGAATTGCAACTTGCGCAAGAGAGAAACCTGAGTGACATACGACACAAAAACGAGGTTCTCGATAATTAAATTAAGGAGATGGCTGAATTATTGCAAAAAGCAAATGGCTCACTCACATCCATTAAAGTGATGGCTACTGTCGCTCGTGCTAAAACATTAACGGTTTTGCGTCAACTAGACGCACAGCGTAATACTCACATTCTTCGATTCCTCTATGAAGCCGAACAACTAACTGAAACATATGAACATCGTTCATTGGATCTCTCAAAAGTGAAACTTGATGATATTGATTTTCGTGATTTAGCAATAAATGGAAAAAGACTGGATCAATTATCATTGACCAATATGTTTCTGTCGAATGCTGTATTTACAGGCATTGAAATGAAGCATATCAATTTGACAAATACTCAGTTTGAAGCGGTTAATTTCTCACGCGGAATACTTCGAGATGTCCATTTTTCGTCAGCCACCTTCGATAACACTAACTTTTCATCTTCTCAACTCGACACTATTAATTTTTCATCGACTAAACTCAACAATATCAACTTTTCATTCGCTTCGTTGTACAAAGTCGAATTCTGTCAGGCTCGACTCCAGTATGCGACTTTTTCATTCACTATGCTTCTCAATGTTGCATTTGTATCAACCCAACTCGAAAATATCAATTTCTCATTTGCCTCGCTCACTAATGTTGATTTTTCATCGGCTTCGCTTCGAAATATCAATTTTTTACACGCCACATTAGTCAATGTCAGAGTTGGGGGCATCACCATGCGTGATACTGATTTCTCTTCTGCTGAATTGAGATATGTTGGCTTCGTCGAGGCTAAATTGAATAATGCCGATTTTTCATCCTCTATTCTAAGTATTCCACATTGTATCTTTACTCTTTTTTTCTCATAGAATCTATTTTTTGAATGCCATTTAGTTTCAACCACGTTTGATGCGGCCAAAGCGCCTGCAACAAATTTTCGACAAGCGACGTGTGTTGCAGTTCGCTTCTTTTTTGCTTATTTAGTCGGGTCCAATTTTTCAGAATCAAATATTAAGCACACTTTATTCGAAAAAGCTAACCTGACCAG